TGCTGCTAAAGCAGTACGTCGGACACGTGTGTAGGACAATCTGCTCGTACAATTCTCTTACAAGCTCAAAAAGTTACGCACAGTGAGCATGCAATCTCGGGAGTCATAAAGGACCGTATGAAATGGTCATTGGCTGCAGCTCTCAGGGATCCCAGCATGGGCAGGAGGCAGCAAATGCTGCAGCTGACAGCATCCCCAGACCGCCTGGATGCAGAAGCTGGGCACATTAAGATTTATGGCATCTTGAGCTTGGGAAGTGAAAAAGCTTTGCTCTCTAAAATGAAAAATTCTGTGAAGGAAAGGAGAAGAAAAGGCTAAATAAGATTCTTTGTTCTACATTAGGGGTAGGAAAGGTGAACTAACAGGGATGCTGCAATGAAGGAGCTTCTCTTTGTAACCTGATTCCTAGCCTAGAGGGGGAAGGAGGTGGCGGTAAGGGGTGTGTGCCTGTGGTTGTTCTTTTTTAAACAAAGCCTGGTGCCACTGTTGGCTTCTTTATGATGGACAAAAAGACCAGAAGAACATATTTCACATTCTCAGCTTATTTACCTTTTAAATTCCAGAAGGGTACACCCCAACTATAGTGCAGAAATCTCAGCCTCTCTAAATGTACCCTCTGTGAAGAAACTTGTACCTTGCAGGTTAGCTGCTCACATGAAAAACCAATTCATCGGGCTTCTCAAGCCACTGGTACCAGGGATTCCAAACCTGGAGCGATGAGCAGGTATCAGACATGGTACAAAGCGAGTCCACAGAGGTCCTCTGGAGAACACAACTTCCCCACTCGCCTACAAAGCAAGAGCTGGTCAGGATACCGCACGGTTCAGGCCACCCCTTTACCTTTTGATTCCTCTAATGAGCAAGGAAGCCCAAGGCTGGTGCATGCTGAGGCACCAACCATCATCTGTGATCTCCTGCAACTCTCGATCCTGAATCCGCAACCTGTTCCGCTCCAAGCCAGCCTCATTTCCAGCATCCATGGAATGGATGGCTTTCCAGTGGGGGAGCAAGCCAGTTTGGTCCACCCACTTCAGCATGGTCAAAAGAAACAAGGAAAAGGTTAGCACCTCCCTAGGAAAAATGTATATCAAGTGCAAATCCTATCTGAAGTTTTCCTTCATTTAAGGACAGAGGTATTACTCTTATCAGGATTGCTCTTCCTTGCAAGCTCAGTACGTGCAGTACTTTGGCAGGAGGAAAAGTAAGGTCATGCTCTGTTCTGTGCAGCTTTCCCTTTCCATGCATCACAGCTAAACTATGGATTTAACGGGTAAATCTACCTGCTAGTGTTTCAAAGCAGTCACAGGAAGATACAATTTTTAAAGCATATTCACAGCCATCAACACTCGAAACTGGGCATATTCCAACCTCCAAATGTTTAGCACACAATCAAGAACACCATGATTAAAGCGAAATTAGAGAGTGTAGAGATTATGCCCTCTGGAAACTGGAAATCTGGCAGAAAAGGCATCATAAATAGAGCTGAAAAAGTGACACACACTTAGGCTGACTCTCAGAAATTCTTTCAAGCTCCTGAAGAGGAGGTAGGAGACTAAAACTCAGATAAAACAAACCTCCCAAGAGCAGGGACCAGAGCAGGGCATTGGCTAACCTCTCCTTGTCCCCAACTCAGATGGCTAACGAGGACCTCCCAGGCACAGGGGAGGAAAGAGGTACTACAAACATGCTAGAATTCACAATGCTTAAGCTCAGCTCTCCCAGACTTAGTCATTACTCTGCTATAAATCACTCAACCCATACTGACCAAAGGAGCAGGCTGAAGAAGATGGGGATTCACTAAAACACCAGAACTCAGAGTCGTCTTTGCTTCTGGGCCTCCAGCTGGCTCCCTCAGCGTGCCACAATTAATGGCTTCAATAGTTTCATCCAGTCTGCAAGCACGAACAAGAGGCATGAAAATTCCTTGCTTCCCCCAGCAATGTCTCCCTTCTCCCCACACAAACATCTTCAACCCAAAGCATTTTTTTACCACCTCCCCTAGCAAAACTATTTCCTTGCTAGGTGCGATCTCTGATTTGAACAGTCACTCTTTATACTACCACAGAAACTCAGCCTGGTTTGAACTGGAGAGGAATTGGTTCTACCCAAATAGGCGTGCTGCAAGCCAGGAAGACCCTCAAGGAAGAAAAGAACACAAAACTGCATCCTAGCATCAGAAGTGCCCTTCAAGGGAATGGCTTGCTCAGCTTCCCTTACGCTTGCTCTTCTAGATTCAGCCAGACCACCGTCCATAATGATTTTCACCTCCCTGCTCTCGGGCACGCCTTGGTGCTACCAGTTCTCACTCACTTGCTGTGGTATTCAGCCATACTGTTGTCTTCCTCCAGGATCTGCCTGCCAGCAAAGTCGATGGTGATTTTTTTGGCAAGCCGAGAGGCGTGACGCAGCTCCCGCAGTTCTTGCTCTCTCTTCTGGAGGGCCTCCCTCTCCTGCTTGGAGAGCCACTGGTTGGAGTCTGTGGCAAAGTAATCCGATTCGTCATCAATGACGTGGGTTCGACGCACGCTGGTGAGAAACAGCCGTAACAGTAGAAGATGAGCACAGCAGGACAGTGACACCACGCTGCCTGCCCCAAACCTGCCTTCCTACCGGCTCTCTTCCGCTCTCTCTAGCGAGCTGGACCCTCAGGGGCACAAAGAAAGGACATCCAAACAGGACCCATTCGCAGGGTTCGCTCTTGTTCCAACGTTAAGGTGTCTGTAGCTACAGGCCAGGTTTTAGAAGGCTCTCTAACATTTTCATTAAAGATGGCTCAGCCTGCCAGATAATTTACGTTATTTCACAACAGTCTCACGGGTAGTATCTTACCTTGTCCTGTCAAATTCCAACAACTTGTCTTTGTGTTTCACAGCCATCTCCAAGCCTGCTTTGAGTCTAGCTTCTTGCCGAGGCAGTAAGTCTTTGCTTATGGCATCCAAATTTCCTGAACTTTCAGCACCTGAAACAGAAAATAAATCACAGCTCAATAGTCAAGGCCGGGCCAGTTGTTTAAAGCCCAGTCTGGGTGGGGCTGGCTGCAGAAATGACCCCTAAAACAAATGCCATCCAAGAAGCTAAAAGAACTTTGCACTGAGATCAGCACCTTTCCAAAACAGGTTCAAGGCCCGATTTTCCCTCTAGCCCCTTTCACAGACTCCTTCCTCCAAACAGGAGGAAGGATTTAAATCCTACAGTGACAACATCTAGGGAGCATTCTCCTTCACCCTTCCATAACAATTTAGGCAGTCCAAATTCCACCCATCACCACCCACAGGCCTTGAGTCCCCTCCTAAAAGCCAAATTCTCTCCTAAGTGTTTCTGCCTCCACAAAGAAACAGATCGCTGACAACTGCCAGTTACCCACAGAGCAAGCCTTCCGCCTGCTGCTGTACAAGCCGCTCACAAATGAAATCCTCGCCCAGCACACCTCAGCAGGTTTTTCAGACCAGTTATTGTTAGAGATGGAGAAATCTATTCCCAGCAACAATCTCTTCTTTCTTACCATTTCTGGCAAGGCGCCAAACCCCAACCAAACAAAAGGCAGGGGGGAGATTTGCATCAGAGTCACAATGGAACAAACGTTTTTCACAGCAGACATCACACGGGCCAACACCTTTATTTCAGGGAAACAAAAAAGCCTCTATTCCCCTGATACATATTTTTTCACTCCCAAGACAAATAGCTATCCATGTTTCAGCTTTCACCTATGCATATAACACACACGGCAAGACCTGGCAGGGGCAGAAGGGAAGACCAACAAAACAGGTAAGATTATGAACAGACCAACTCTCTGATCAGCTCTTACTCTTGAGGACTTACAGGACCTCCTGCCATATCAGCAGCTCTAAAGAGAAGTTGACACTGAGACCCAGAGTAAATATTTCCCCGGTTCTTCAGCAAAGTGTATTTTTCAACCAAGAACACTGTGACCTTGGCTATATTTCAGCTAAACTCAGACAAACATCCCCATAATGAACAGGTCTTCGCTGGGAGACTGGGTATTATTTCCTCTTGCTTTCCTTGGCTCTGCTCCTATTTTTAGCTCCCAAGATAAGTGTTAGACAAGAAGAGTCATTAGAAAATGTTAACCACCACCTCTCTAGACCCTGCAAATCAGACAGCGGCACTTCATCTTCCACAGCACCACATTCCACGTGAGACTTAATCCTAATTTTCAAGGACTGCTGCGATGATCTAGGAATGCCTAACGAGCAGCCTTGGGGCCTCTGGGTAAGGACCTTATACGCTGCCGTTTGACACTCGCAGTTATCACCTGTGTTGGAGTCCACAAACGCTGCCGAGCACTTGCGGAGAGGACACAAGGAGCTGGCTTCCTTTTAATGCCCACCACAAACACTGTGCAGCAACGGGGGCGAGCGGCTCAGTGAAGTCTGAAGCAGAGCTCACAAACCATCCTGGCAATTTACATCCCAGAGAAACAGTCAAGTGCCAGCTCCCAGGAAAGAATTACCTTTAGACTTTGCCAGCAGTTCTTTATAATTCAGATGAATGGATCTAGACAATTTACACACCAGGACAGACGCTCTCATTCCTACACCACATCAAGGCAACTGTAGCACAGTGAGGCAGAGGCGGGCTCCTGCTGTTGCATAACTGATTGCATTCATTATATTACAAGTATGTAATCACTACTGACCCGCCATGAGCTTCTTCAGCAACTTCTGGCTCTTGTTCGAGTCCCGTTGAAGGATGTCCTGCTCTTCTTTAGTGCACACCTAAGGAAAAAAACAAAGACTTAGGAAGGACATCACATGCTTGACCAGCTTCAGAGCCTTGGACAACAGCTCAAGGTAAGCCATTTACAACAGCCAGGATAGTCCACACCTCCTTCCCTTCGGTGTTATTTACACAGGGAGAATCCTGAAAGCTCATTCTTTACTAAAAGCAACCCATGAGAAACGTACAGCTAGGTCCTTCTCAGTTCTGTGGGTGGGCACACTGCTAGGGGATCTCAAAGGATGAGAAATGCACTCAGAACCTCCCTGAGCAGATGAACACTGCTTAACACAGAGGTCCTCTCTCTTGGTTGGCCAACTGGAGTTAAACAGCTCCTTGAAAATAGCAACCAATCTGATTTAAAACATTTTCTCCATTGAACCAATATTTTCCTCTCTCCTGAAGTCACCTTTAATGAATCTGCAGTCATTTACTCGCCCCCTTTCTCCAAAATGTGCCCTTTCAACCAAATACTGGGTGTAACAGGTATCTGAAATGATGCACACTGCACAAGCATTGAAGAAAAGGCAGCACACTGGCCCTGGCCATGTCTCCCACCCCTTACAAGGCTACCAGGGCTGTGCCCAGGATGGGGCTGATGCCTTGCACACATTTTGGATGCCAGCATGATGCACAGGACAGCCACAGGAGGCTGCCATAAATCAGGCAAGCTCCAAAGTGATGTAAATTATGAGTAAAACCTCTCCGCTCTCCGATGTGGCACACCGTAAAAGAAACACAAACTGACTTAAAGCCACCACAGTTCTCCTTCCCCTAGAAGGAGATAGCACAGGTTCTTTCCTGCCCAGCCTTAGAGCTTGGAGAACTTTGCTAGAGGAACTTTGATCTGAGAGGGTAATTCAGCCCCGTGCCACTTCAAAGCCCTCAGCAAACTACACCACATTCAAGCACGGCAAATAAAAAAACACCTCATTACTAACCAGAGCACCACAGAACAAGCAGGGCCCAGAGCCCTCCTGCTCACAGACGATGCGCCCGCAAACCAAGCAGTTGTTGATGAGCTTGTGCTTCTGGCCCAGGCACTCACAGGCGTGACGCCCAGGGATCAGGACAGCCAGCTTTTCTTGCCCCTCCTTGGCATACAGGCTGACATATTTGGGCTTCCTCTTAGAGGAATTGCTACTGCTGCCGACTCCACTGCTGTTCTCCTGTGCCTGAGAAACAAAAAAAATTAAACAAACAAACTGTATTCACAGTGCAATACCGGCAGCAAAGAGAAAGCGCTGACCCTTGTACAGGCTGGGGAGACTCAGACAAGAGTTATTCTGCCTAATCAGAATGAAACTTGGACCAGACCCCAGATTCACTGGAACGGCAAGCTTAGGACTGCCAGAAAAGGTCAAAGGCATCCAAACAAAACAAGGACATAAGGATGTTGCTGATCCACTTGATGTCCGCTGCCTCTGGAAGCTGAAAGTGCTTGGGTCTAGATGGTAGGCGTGCTGTCAGTCCTCTGGACCTGCAATATCAACTCACGGGAATTTAACAGCTTCAAACAGCAGCTCAGATTTATTTTCAAGGGCTATTTAGCTTATAGCAATGCCCCATTTGTGACTGTGAAGTCCTGCATGTGCCTACCCCCAGAAACAGAGCTGTTGGTGGGAGCAGGGCTTCTTCCTTCACAGCCAGTTCACCCCTCAGTGTTTTATATGTTCTCCACCTGGCACAGCCACCTGAGCAGAGGTTTTCACACGCTGCATGTTCAAGTATTTAGCTGTAGTGTAAATTCTTCTCCTTGCTTCATGACTTGGCATCAGGGATTCTGTGATTCACCTCTCTGAGTTTCAGCCAGGGACTGCACTGGGTCAGGCTTTGGGTCAGGGACTAAGCTTTGAGTCAGGCTGAAGCAGAGAAACCCTGATCAGAAAAAAAGCAAGGTGGTTCAGATGACGGCTGGATTAATAATCTAATGGTGGAATTCTCTGTTTTCTCCCTCAGACCTTACACCTTGATCAAAGAAACAAAGGGTTCTTCCTCCCACCTGACATCTCCAGCAGGTACCAGCTGAGAAGGGAATTGTTGAGAAGTTAATTGCAGGAATTAATTACAGCACAGAAATCATTCCAGGGGAAGAGAACAAAGCCAACTGCTACCACTTCTCTGGCAATACTCAAGCCCAGATGCTTTGGAAAGCAAGCACAACACACTCCAGGCACAAACCTATCTCATAGCGCTAGATGAGACTGGTTTCAGCCATGAATTGCATGCTAGCCATGACCCAGACTAGGGCTTATTACCCTTATCTATTTCAGGAAGTAGCACTCCAACATAAACGCACTCCCTGGCCTTTAGTTGTCATATCTGGGACATGCTTGAAAATCCTCTCACAGCTCAAGCGCAGCTTTTCTTTGCCTCTCCTCTCCACGGTCCCTCTCGACAACAGAAGAGAGGATTTCTTAGAAACCCTGTCCCAGAAACCCTTGTTTTCATTCGCCACAGCTAGAGGATCGCTCCCGCTCCCTAATCCACACCTCAGCAAGTGCTGCTTCTGCCCCCCATGTCCACCCATGCTGCTTTTCTCAGGGAGGGTGCCAGGCTGTGGCATTACGACACCTCCTGGCTCTTTTCACCCGCTCCCAACAGCAGCAGACTACTGGTTTAGTGACGAGCAGATGCAGCATCTCCAGTCCCCCCAGTTCCGCCCAACCGGCTTTACTGCCACTGCGAGATCTAAACACTACTGTCGTGGAGAAAAAAAAAAACCCAGATAAAGCAACTTTGGTTAGCAGACCTCAGCAGAGCTTTTTCAAGTTTATTTTTTTAATTAAGTTAGAAGGTAACTACAAGGAAATGGAACATTACTGTCCATTTTTAACCCCTCCTGTTCAAAAGAATGTGGGTTTTTTATCTTACAAACAAAGACTTTTACAAACACTTTAAGCATTTGCAGCCTCCCTGCTACAAACCCTTCAATTTAAAAATATAAATTTAGGTTCCACTATTTATTCAGGTGCAACCCTCACTCTCAGGATTTGGATGTCGCTCAGTCAGGCTTGCACCTGGATAAATCATGGAATTTAATTTGGGGAGGCACAATGTGCTGGATCATGGAATTTAATTTGGGGAGGCGCAATATCCTTGATCATGGAATTTAATTTGGGGAGGCAGAACGAGCTCAGTGTTTACAGCCTGAAGGACTTCACTGCAAGCCTGACAAAGCAGGTCAAGCGCACTGCACATCCACACGCTCATTTCTGCAGAGCACACTCCAGCACTCAGGCAGCAACAGAGTGTTCTGCTGTATTTGATGCAACCCAGGACCGTGCTTGTACAGCTGGATCCATACCTAAGGAAGGAGCTTGGGTTCCCAGCACACAGCTCTGAGTCAAAACCCACCACACGCAAAATAAAATCCAGAATTTAGGTAATTACAACAAGGTTTAAGAGCAAAGATCATCATATTTGATGCACTGACTGCGGGAAATGGTTCTGCTGGATGGAAAGTGAGTCTGCCGCAAAAAGTTAGTCAGCTGTCAATGAGAAAGGCAATGACTGCTTGCTGAATGTCCTTGTGTTGCTTGAAAATAGCAGGATTTCCTGGGTTTTAGTGTTTCTACACTCTCATTTTACAGTTTCTTTCACTGCAGCGTGGACTGTTTATGAATACTGCAAAAAAAGAAGTCTCCACAAAATTGAACAACGTCTCAACCTCAATGCTAAAGGTGCAGGAGTGGAGCTGAAAGGGAAATGGCCAAACCAGCGCTGCCGCTCTGGGGAGAGGCACTCACTGCAGCTCCCAGGTGCCTCCCTCTGGTGTCCAAGGCTTCCTCTCTGAAGCAGCCTGAAATATTTCAACTGCCAATTAAAGCTTTATTCAGTGTGACCAGGAGGTTTTAAATACAGCAAGAAGGAATCTTCTACCCACTGGGTGGCTCCCTTAATTCCTCAGCCTGCATGCCTCTGCTCTGAAGAAAGAGCTTTTATTACTAATTGCAACACCTACTTCCATCATCTGCTCCCTCATCCAAGCTTCTCTGGGGGGAGTAAATTCCATTTTGACACAGTCGCTACCTGGTGATTATTTTACTCTCCATTATAGACACAAACACACATGATCTTTCTCTCCATCCTCATCTTATTTGCCCCACTGTAGTGAGACTCCCATACACCCACACAGGATACAAGGACGGCCTGTGCAAATCCATGGGCAGCTCTGAACAGCTGGTGCACAGGAACAGCTGCCCCTCTTGTCACAACTGGGCGACCAGACAACTCGCAGAGGGTGCGCCTGCAGTGGGGGACCCCTGCCAAAGTATTTGCTCAGGTTACAGCTTGCGGCTGCCAAGCTGCACGCTATCTACGCACAGAACAATGGCATACAAACACGTACCTCACAGAAGCTGCGCTGTGTATAAGACGAGATGGGGTTTGCAGGGGGAGGCAAGCATTTATTAGACCCCACGGTGTAGCTGGGACACACAAACATGCTTCCAGCTACACAATCCCCTTCATCGGGACTCCAATAACAAAGGATTCCTGCTTCTGAAAGCTTATTTCCTCTTTCCAGTCACATCTTTTGTCAGCATTTGATAGGAGCTTCCCCAGTTCAAAGTGTGCCCTCAGCCCACAGCAACACACAGTCAGGCAAAGCCTGCCCTCATGTTCCAGACACGCTCACCTTAGCCAAGTCGAGGGGGGTTTTTACTTCCTCTACGTGTGTGCTGGGCTCAGTGTACGCAGCTGTTTCCTGCTTGTTCCTTCCTTTGCGTTTCCCCTTTTTCGCTTGGTCTCCAGCCCGAGGCACTTCTGAAGTCTCTGGAGGGGCGCATAAGCACAAAAAAAGGCTGAGTAACTACCGGCATGAGAAAGATGTCCCTGAACTCTTGGGGAATGAAAATTGGCTTTAGACAGTCAGAAATAGGGCCAGTCGTGGGCATTTGGGGCAGTAATTTACACACAGAATAACCGAGACAAGCTTATTTGAGACTTTAATTCCTTCCTCCCCCTACCACTCACCATCCTTTTTACGATACGCTGGCAAAGGCTCAGATGGCAGCTGGGAGGATTTCCGCCACCTCGCCAGCAGTTCCTCTACAAACCGACTCTTCTTCCCATCGGTCCCCTGAATGAGGTCGACAACGTACTCCCGGATCTCGTCCTCGTTTGTTATTGACAAGATGTACCTGCGAGAGGATGGGATGGAGAAAAATGGGTAAGGGGGCTTCTGTTCTGAGAAAACCAACTGTCTAATAGCACACATATGCGATCTTCTCTTCAGATCAGGTTTCTGCAGAGATCACGGTAAGAAATGGGTTTAACGAGTCAAATTTTGAGGCAGGCACCTTAGGAAAGCCTTGTGAAATTTTGAGACAGGCACTTTGGGAAATCGCTTGGGGCTGTTTCACTGAAAAAAAAAAAGGTAAGGGAAATTATCTTTCTCCCCCTGTTCCAGCCCCACAACCCCCACCCCCCGCCAAACTCTCAAAAATTCATCCCGAGGCTCTTGGTTCCCACCAAGTCACATAAAAAAATCGAACCATAAACCAACAGGCTCCTGCTTAAACACAAGTGCCCTTCCTCACCCACTCCAGTCCTCTCACGGGCACCCACCCGAGGGACAACCCAGGGCGCAGATCCCCGGGTCCCCCGCTCTGAAGGTTCCATTTTCCCTCTGTGTGGGCCCTTGGGGTCGGGGCGGGAGGCCATACGAGGGGCCACCGCGGCCGACCA